GGGGACTCAGGCTAAGTACTACATTGTTTATAATTGCTCTACCATGTTCGAGGTATTTATTTTCAGTAACCGCTCGGAATGGTCGCCGGTCCATTCTGGGTTCTAGTGGCCTTATCTAACCACTAGAGTGTGCACATGGTCCGGTATTAGTTTGTGCCGGGAGATAGCGGCATTAGTTTGTGCCGAGCGGCATTAGTTTGTGCCGAGCAGATTCAGTTACGTGACTTCAGTCGCGAGTACGTGACTTCGGTCGCGAGTTCAGACCGGTATCAGTTCAGTTCAGATATATATGCTTAGTTCATGATATTGTTATTATTTACGATGTTTTACATTAGTATGAGTTTCCACGGAGCACAGTGCCTTAGTTCTCACTCCCCAGTTTTATCTTATTTTTCAGGTCAGGATGTCGGCCAGGGAGCGTGACGTGACGGGGCATGTCGGGACTTGCCGGATATTTATATATATGTTTTGGACTGTATAACTATGACTTACGCTTCCGCTTATCTTTTGATAACTTATGATGATGTTTTTGATATGTTTTGACGAACTTATCATATTTAGACGGACTTTTAAGAAAGTAAAGTTTTTCAGTAACCGGACGTTTTTATTAAATTAAAACAACGGTTTTCTAAGTTAAGTAAGGATCTTTCACGGTAGCACCCCAAAATAGTTTCGCAAAGTAAAAATGTTTTAGTTTTCAAAAACTTTGCGAATAATTGCGCAACTCTGATTTATCTAGTAAGGTGGGGTGTTACAATTGGTATCAGAGCACGTTTCTGCGTCTCTGATAAGTTTTCAGTCAGAAAAGTTTCAGTCCAAAATTTTCAGAAAAACCCAAACCGTCATGTTCACGCCCCGCCGACGACAGGTAAGTGCTGTTGCAATTCAGTTTTTCAGTTATTATAAACATATTACTTTGTCTATGCTCAGAATTGAGGATCAGGACCTTAGTTAAGATGCTCATTCAGATTAAGACCTTAGAATTTGGACATGACTCTAGAATTCAGGCATTCAGATATGACTCTAGACGTTAGGATCTTCCGAGATGACTCTAGAGTTCTTCAGGTTTCATGTCAAGTATTTATCGGCCATTTTTGGCAACTCGTCAAGAGATCTGTGTGCCTAATAATCAGTCAGTAAGGCTATCATGTAATATTCAGTAATGTTAATCTTTCTCAATGTTCAGATGCCGCCACGTAGAGAGCCCGATCATCAAGCTCCTACTCAGGCTATGGTAGTCGCTCAGTTCCGCGACTATCACGCAGAAAAGTTCTCAGGTCAGGGCGACCCTCGTGTCGTCGATGAATGGATTCAGGGGTTGGAGTTTATCTTTGAGGTTATGGAATGTCCCGATAG